CCCCAAAACCCCAAAACCCCAAAACCCCAAAACCCCAAAACCCCAAAACCCCAGAAGTAGCTAATAATATTGAGGTATTAAAAATAAAGATGAGCGAAGCTACAAAGGAAAAAGCAAAGCTTAGCATCATTAATGAAGCTAATGATGAAAGGTCAGGTATGGAATTACTTTTATTACCTTTTGAGAATCTTAGATCATTCTAGCCGGAGAGTACTTTAAAGCCCCTTTCTTTCCTATCATTCAACAATCTCCAAGTACCGATGGAATTTCTCTGACTCTCTCTTGAGATAGATATTCTAATATTAGTGAACACATTCTCTTGAGTTTTCTGAAATTGGTTCCTAGGGATTGTAAGAAAACACATTTTCAGTTGGATTCGCATGAAATTTATACTTTTCAGTACAAATTAGGTCTGAATTTTATTCGCATTACTATTGCCTTCTTTAGACGCATTTGATGCAGTTACTGATGCTAAAGCGAAAAAATCTAAGGGTGTTCCTGGAGAAGATGACGAAAGAAACTCCTTACATTCAGAAGAGGATGAATATGATGAGATCGACATGGGGGAAATTGACGAAATTAAAGCTCCAAAAATGGATGTCATTGAAGAAGCTCCTGAGGAGCTCCAATTGACAGATCCTGTTGAGAGGGCTCCTTCTCCCATTTCTAAAAAGAAGAAAGCAAAAGCAGAAGAACAGAAAGCAACTATTCACGACTCATTTGATACTTTCATTGTAAATGATTACTTCGGAGAGGAAGACAAGTGATTTGAAAGTTCAATTGACATGACAGGAATTTTTGCATTCAAAAATAATGACAATGAAAAGAACTTGAATGAAACAAATGATGTCAATGGCACTATGGACGCTATTGTTGCAAACCTTGAGTCCGCTAGCAAACTCACTAAAGCTTCAAAGCCGATAAAAGTCAATGATATCAACCAAGTTATGGACAATATTGACTATGTTGTTAGTAAAAATTCGAGCAAAAGTCGGTCCTCAGCAAAAGAAGATGTCAATATTGGTCCAAAGAAGGGAACTAAAGCATGGGAGAGTTGGTGGAAAAAGAAAAAGGCGGTAAATGGGGACCTTCTTAACGCAGCCCAGATTGGCGACTTTGAAAAGGTTAAGTCCTTGCTTGATAAGGATATCCAAAAAGAATTTGTTGCGAATATAAAGTTTCAAGGTCTTGATAACTTCACAGCCTTGCACTTCGCTGCTCAAGGAGGCCATTACGAAATATGTGAGTTCTTGATAGAGAATGGTTGTGATGTAGAAGCTAGGAGCAATATGGGCAGAACTCCTCTACATCTTGCTGCAATCAGTGGATTAAGTAACATTCTAATGTTATTACTCACAAATGGTGCTGACATCAACAGCCAAGACGAGGACATGTATTCTGCCCTCCATCACGCTAGCGAAGGTGGGAACACTGAATGTGTGAAGCTTTTAGTAGAGAAAGGAGCTGACGTAACTCTCAAAAACAACATCGGTTCTAGCCCTAATGATATTAGCCAAAATATTGATGTGAGATCCCTTATCGAACAGTACTCCGACAAGGAGGAGATCATAACTGACTCTTTAGCCAGGAGAAGCGAAATGGGAGGAGTTATCCTCAGAAATGACAGGAAAAACTACGTTGAAAGGCTTATGGGCAGGTTCCAAAAAGTTGACAAGTACTTGAAAGAGACTAAGAATGGAAGCGAAGAAGCCTTAATTGAGAGTATTGAGAAACAACAAAAACAAAGAGAAGAAGATAGAAAGAGGCAGAGAGGCATGAGGCAGGTCAAGACTGAAGTTGAAAATAAGAAAAAGAAGAAAGAGGGAAGATTTGAACGCAATAAGGATAAATTCTTACAAATCGTCCAATTGGAAATGAAAATGAAAGAAGAGCTCAGAGGCTTCGGAATTGAGCAAGATGAAGCTGGTCCTGCTTTGTTTAATCCTATTGGCAGGCTTGGTAGAGGTAGTTTTGGAGAAGTTTATCTGGTCGAAAAACTACCAGAAGGAGATCAATACGCAATGAAAATCTTACATAAGAGGAGAATAATGGGTCAAAACTTGGTAAGATATGCAAGAACAGAAAGAGATGTGCTTTCTTACTTTGCTCATCCCTTCATTGTTTCCATAAAATATGCTTTCCAGACACCAGAGAAGCTATATATGATCTTAGAGTACTGTCCAGGAGGTGATCTAGGATCAGTTTTGAAGAGGGAAAAGAAACTAACTGAAGAAAGAGCCAAGCTTTATCTTTCCGAAATAATATTGGCTATTGAGACTCTTCATCAAAAAGACATTATATTTAGAGACTTGAAGCCTGATAATGTTGTGTTAGATGCAGAGGGACATGCTATGCTCACAGATTTTGGTCTCTCCAAGGAGGGAGTGACAAATAATAGCTCAGCAAAGAGTTTCTGTGGCTCAGTAGCATACTTAGCCCCAGAAGTTCTGAGGAGACAAGGCCATGGAAAATCGGTAGATTGGTATTTGGTCGGAGTTTTACTCTACGAAATGCTTTGTGGAATTCCACCATATTTCTCCTCAAACAAAGACCAGATGTTTAAGAACATTAAGAGTGGTCCTTTAAGGATGCCTGAGAGATTCAGCAAGGAGACCAAAGACTTTATTGTTAAGTTATTGAATAAGAATCCCTCCAAACGTCTTGGAGCAGGTAAAGGGGATGCTGAAGAGCTTAAACAGCATCCCTTCTTTGAAGGTGTGAATTGGAAAGATGTGCTTGAGAGAAAGCAGAAAATGCCAAAGCCTGTAATTAGGGAAATTAAAAAGAGCACTGTTAATCTCACAGATATTGTCTACGGAGAGTATGCAGGAGTTGGTAGAGTAGCCTCTTCAAAAGAAGTTGAATACCATAAAGCTCTCCAGAAGAGAGGACAGACTGTTAAAGATACAGCCGATGCAGACGATCTTGATAGGAACAAGATTCCAGGATGGTCATTTATCGGTTCCCCTTCAAACTAACTTTCAGGTTAGTGGATGTCTCCAAGTTGTTTTGTATTAATGATTTAGTCAATAATATTTAATCCCTCTGGGGTTTTGGGGTTTTGGGGTTTTGGGGTTTTGGGGTTTTGGGG